CTCCATGACCCAGCCAACCAAACCCCTCAACAATGTTCCAAGGCCAATTCAGAATTCTCCTGTCCTCACGTGTAAAGCAGAGTTATTCAACTATGGGTCCCCCCATGGGAGAGGTTTCTCTCCAGCTAACTATCTGTCAGGTCTTCAGGTACCCAAATACAGACGGTCTTTTACCCTCGCCAGATTCAACGTTCTCCCTTCTGCCTTACTTCAGGGCAGATTTGAGGGTAAACCATACACAGCACGGGTCTGCCCTTGTGGCTCGTTGGAAGTTGAAACGGCTTCACATGTACTATTACGTTGTCATTTTTATGAGGATATACGTTTGACTTTTATCACACCTGTTTTGCAAAAGTCCAGGAAAGAATCGGAACACCATAGTTTAAAATTGCTGTTAGAGGACAAGAATCCCAAGACTACATTAAATGTAGCCAAATTCTGTGCATCTGCAATTAATCGCAGGAAGCAAGTGGTATCCCATAATGACCAAACCCCCAAATGTTAATTATAGGGGGCACGCTAATAATTAACTTTAATTTTTTATATTTAAATCCTTGTTATATTTATATTGTCCTCTGTATTTCTGATATTTATTTTTTATTTTTTTTATGATCTGTGATATTGTGTGTGTTGACGCTGGTCTGTGACCGTATTAATAAATTCATTCATTCATTCACTATGGGTCCCCAGATGCTGTTTGACTACAACTCCCATCACTCTTGATTGTTGACAAAGCTGGCTGGGCATGATGGGAATTGTAGTCCAACATAATCTGGGGACCCAAGGTTGAAGAACACTGTTATAAAGGAGAGGAAAGCCACTGTGAAGATAATGCCATAACTTGAGAAAAGACAGGCTACTACAGTGAAAGAAACTGTCCTATTAGCAGGCAAGAAAATACATTTGCAGGAATGAGTGAAATTTTTGAGGCACATGTTGATCCTAGTTTACATAAAGGGGCGATATAAAATATAGACTGGCGATCCCAAGATCAACCAGACTTTTAGAAGACATCTGAAGGCAGCCCTGTTTAGGGAAGCTTTTAATGTTTAACAGACCACTGTATTTTAATACTTTGTTGGAAGCTGCCCAGGGTGGCTGGGGAGACCCAGCCAGATGGGCGGGGTATAAATAATAAATTATTATTATTATTATTATTATTTAATGTCAATTTGTTGTTGTTGGTATCTGTCTGTCTTGGGACACAATGGAGTGATGCACTTTTGGGGGTGAAGGCAAACTGTTGGAAGGTTACAGAGCTTGCTTTGGCTGTAGAAACCAATATGGGAGAGACATGTTTCATTGCAGCTGGGGCAGATGAAGGCGTCCGGTTGTGCTGGTGCAGATGAGCCATGGTGTTTCTTCTCTCTGAGGTACCATGTACCATGCCTCCCCGTACCCTGAAGGCCACAGCTTCCCCCATCGTGCTGCGCAGGGTCTTATTTGGCACCAGAAAAAACAACAACCTAGACTACACTTCTCCTTCACAACTATAATGGATCAAATTTAGATGGTCTAAGGCAGCCTTTGCCAACCAAGTGCCCTCTAAGTGTTTTGGACTAAGTCCTATCAGCCCCAGCCAGATGCTGACTACAGCTTGTTTAATGGACCAGTTTTTCCTCCCTAACTGTTCTTTTGTGGGGGGTTTTTTGGGGGGGTGTAGAGGGGTTTAGATACAATTCAGCTGCCAAAACATTGTGTGGAAATGCAATGGAAGATTGTGATGGAATCCTTTATGATCACTAGAAATGGTAGGCTCTTTGTTCATTGCAATCCTGATGGCCACAAAGGTACTGCAAATTACCGGGGGAGGGGGGGGGGGTCTGGAGATAGTTCACAAGCCACCCATTCCATCATTTCAAACGGTGACGAAAGAACTCAACTATCACCGCAAGGAAAAGTCTGCGGAAAGGAGAGGTGAGCGGGCAAAATTCCCTAACCTTGCAGACCACTTTTTCCCCATCTGTCCCAGCTGCACACCAAAACCGAGACTCAGAAAATGCCGCGGTGATTTGCTAAGCCATGCATGGATTACCTGCTCCTCAAACTCGCTCGCTGCGCAGCTAGGAAGCCCAACGTGGAATCTGCAGCAACAAACCACACAAAGCAAGCTCGACACATTAAATCATTACACAACCGTTTTACAGCCTTCAGTCTTTCGTAACAGACGAGACTGTGGGCTAGATCCTTATCAGAAAGCGGGCACAGCTCCATGGGCTGCAATGGAATGGTGCCCATTTTTTATCAGCGAGACGCCTAACCTCATTTGCACGGAGAGGCAGAAACTGAAGTCTTAGTGCCATCTCCTTCTTAGCCTTAAGGAAATATGGTGAAGAGCATATCATGCTTGAGCTTCACAGAGGGCCTCTTAAGAGCTTTAACAAACCACAAGTGAATTGGGATGCTTAATCAGCATTTATGGCAGAAGCTCACACACTTCCCCGTGGTACCTGTTCAGCTGACACACTGATCACTTTCTGTATGTCTGCCTCATGCAATATATATCAGTGTTTCCCAAACTTGGGTCTCCAGTTGTTTTTGGACTACAACTCCCATTATCCGTAGCTAGCGAGACCAGTGGTCAGAGATGGTGGGAATTGTAGTCCAAAAACAGCTGGAGACCCAAGTTTGGGAAGGTAAAGGTAAAGGGACCCCTGACCATTAGGTCCAGTCGTGGCCGACTCTGGGGTTGCGGCGCTCATCTCACTTTATTGGCCGAGGGAGCCGGCGTACAGCTTCCAGGTCATGTGGCCAGCATGACTAAGCCGCTTCTGGCAAACCAGAGCTGCCCATGGAAACGCCGTTTACCTTCCCGCTGGAGATACCTATTTATCTACTTGCACTTTGACGTGCTTTCGAACTGCTAGGTTGGCAGGAGCAGGGACCGAGCAACGGGAGCTCACCCTGTTGTGGGGATTCGAACCGCCAACCTTCTGATTGGCAAGTCCTAGGTTCTGTGGTTTAACCCACAGTGCCACCCGCGTCCCTTAAGTTTGGGAAACACTGACATAAAATATCAAAACAGGAGAAGGCACAAAAGAGGGCCACCCCCGTTTCCAGAACAGGAATCTGAGCAGCTCATGCATACACTCTCTCTCCTGCACATGCATGAATGTATGAATGAATGCTTATTGCTATTTTACTGATTGCATTCCTACCCCACCCCTCCAAGGAGCTCAAGGTGGCATGCCTGGTTCTTCTCACAACAACCCTGTGAGGTAGGTTAGCCTGAGAGGCAGTGACTGGCCCATGGTCACCCAGTGAGCTTCATGACTGAATGGAATCCAAACCCTAGTTTCCCAGCTCCTAGTCTGACACTCTATAACCACTATACCACACTGGCTCTGTTGTCTGGTATCATTTCAGAAATCTAGTACCTGGTTTCCCACTGAATCTTATTACCTCCCACCCGGTGAACTGCCTGCAGGCTGGTAGTTTCACCAGAGGAGACAAGTACTTATCCTAATTTAATACTTGTTCAGATGATTACTGGGGAAGCCACAGTTGTCATTCTCCAGGATTAAATGCATGTTGAAATTTAGAACGATAAGGCGCTCTCTGAAGAAATCCATAGACTCAACTCATTCTTCACAAAGACATGGCAATACTTCATGAATATCATGCTGACTACATAGTTCTGGCCTTTGCTCATACCGTGGTACCTCAGGTTACGAACTTAATTCGTTCCGGAGGCCCGTTCTTAACCTGAAACTGTTCTTAACCTGAGGTACCACTTTAGCTAATGGGGCCTCCCACCGCCGCACGATTTCTGTTCTCATCCTGAGGTAAAGTTCTTAACCCGAGGTACTATTTCTGGGTTAGCAGAGTCTGTAACCGGAAGGGTCTATAACCCAAGGTACCACTGTAGTACTAAACATACTGGAAATCGGGGACTCTGGGATTATTTGTTCATTTTGTTAATTGCCTATTGTTGGGTGGCGCTTTTTGACATGATGGTGATAATGCAACGGTGTTTTATCATGTACATGCTTCAAGAGTTTTATTTATAAATCTAAATGAAAAAGAAAGCAAACAGCGTGCAACCCAAGTGAATATGGTAGCATCAAATCATTAAAATACAGTGGTACCTCAGGTTACAAACGCTTCAGGTTACAGACTCCGCTAACTCAAAAATAATACCTCGGGTTAAGAACTTTGCTTCAGGATGAGAACAGAAATCGTGCTCCAGCGGCATGGCAGCAGCAGGAGGCCCCATTAGCTAAAGTGGTACCTCAGGTTAAGAACAGTTTCAGGTTAAGAACGGACCTCCAGAACAAATTAAGTTCTTAACCCGAGGCACCACTGTACTTAATCTTATGTTACCAAACAGTGCAGGAAACCAACAACTAAGACTTAAAATTTCAAACAGTAAAGGGTACCATGCTCAGTTTTTGAAAACTTCTGAATGTTTTGGTGTAATGCAAATAATAGGGACGTATTTGAGAATTCGAAAGCTGGTTCACTGAGATCCAGCTCAGACTTTTTCTTCCTTTTACTGTGAATTCATCTCTCTCATGTTACAAGACTGTTCATTCTGATGGTGTCCTGGCTTCTACCTTTCAGTTTAAGAGGTTCAGTTCATGCAATGCAATCCCAGTCCTATGCTGATTTATGTGGGAGCCCCATTAAGTTGAATGGGTTTTGCTCTCACAGAAGGCCCTAGCTACACATTATGTTAACCACACGTTCACAAAAAGTGGTGTTGTCACTTTTATTTCGAAGGAAAGGCATCTGAAGGGGTTCTGTTCTGGACTGATACCCTGCACCAGTTTTCGATCGAAAATTCACATATACACACCCCAGTTGTTATTTGCTCCTGAAGGTGTTGTCTGAAGGAAAGAGCATAGAATAGCAGCCTTAGAAATATGAGTCATATAACAGAGCTTAAAAATAACAGTGAAACAGGGTTTTAAAAACTGTAGCCCCTGCACACTGAAAAGCAACAATACCCAGCTGGTTCACACTCTAGAGCAGTGATTCCCAAACTTGGGTCTCCAGCTCAGTGGCGTAGCGTGGGGGGTGCAGGGGGGGCCGGCCGCACCGGGCGCAACATCTGGGGGGGGTGCGCTCGCACTCGCAGCTCTCTGCCCCTACCTGGCTCACTCACTCTCTCTCACTGCAGTGCTGGCTGTGCGAATCCAATCCGAGCCGCTGGGTCGCCGCCCACTGTGGAGGGGGTGGGTGCCAGGCGTGCGGTGCGGAGAGAGAGCGAGGGACTATCTGGGGGAGGGACGGTGCAGCGGCCGCCCAGCGCAGCGCTGAGCGCGGGAGAGAACCACACCAGACCAGACCAGGAAGCAAGAAGAAGCTGGCAGCGGCGGCAGGTTAGGGGTTAGGGGGCGCAAATAACTTGCCTTGCCCCGGGTTAGGGGGCGCAAATTACTTGCCTTGCACCAGGTGCTGACAACCCACGCTACGCCGCTGCTCCAGCTGCTTTGGGACTACAAGTCCCACCATCCCTGACCACTGGTCCTGCTAGTTAGGGATGATGGGAATTGTAGTCCAACAACAGCTGGAAGCCCAAGTTTGGAAAACCCAATGGCCACCCATCTGAGTCGAAGTCCTGGTTTGCAAACTCCCCTGGCTTTTCTCTGGTGATCAACCTTCTTGTTATGAAACTTGCAGCCTGGCCGTTTTTCTTTTTCCAGGCTTGATTCAACAACACCGCGCAATTTTCTCCAGAGCTAATATGAAAAACTCCTTACTGCTAACAGAATACTAATGCTTTGCATTTGAATAGCACCTTTGATGTGAAGCTTTCCAAGCGCTTTGCACATTAATAAAATGTCTCAACCCCACACCCATCGGAGACAGGCAAGTATCATTCCCATGTTATAGATGGAGACACTGAGAATAAGATAGAGTAATCCTGACAGCTCAGAGCATCTGAAGCTCAGGCAGGCAAGGGGCCAAGTGTCCTCTATTCCCAAGCAGGAACAAGAGCAGCGACGGAGCTCCTTTGCCTCGGGGCCTCTTCTTGCATTATTACATACACCGCCATGACCCCACACTTTCTGCCAGTTCCAGGAAATCTGCAGCAGGAACGGCAAATTCCACCTCCCGCCAACCCGGAACGTAGTATATACTAGTGGGTTCGACCATTTCCTCATCAAACGAGACTTCATTTGTTGTTCATTAGAAAGTTCCCTAAAAGAATGGTGGAACGATACAGTGCTTACTATTGCTTTCTCCCCAGTGTTCCTGCTGCCCTTAGGGCCAAGCTAAATGTGATGTGGAAAGTCAGTCGGTATTCAACTAAGTTTCGCTGAAATTAATGGGCCTTAGTCATGTTCATTAATTTTGATGGGTCTACTCTGAGAAAGACCCAGCTGAATACCACCTCTCTTTAGCGTGGTGCAAGGGAGTCAGGGGTGTAGGTGAACTCAGTTTGTGATATATCAAAGTGTTGAGTGGGATGCACAAAGAATTGACAGTGAACTATGATTTGGCAAATGATTTGCTCCACATGCAAAATCACATAAGAAAGTAGTTTCAACCCATCATTAACTTACACATGTGTGCATGCATACATACATATATACATGCATGCATCATTTTATTTGAATGCTACCTTTCCACAGTTCAAACCATGCTCAACCTGAAAAAAATACACAACTACACCATAACAAAAGCAGCCATCAGCAATAAATTAAGCAGCAAAAACACAAAACCAAACTGAACCATTTCCACATAAATCACAACGAAATCTAAAATAGAGATACAAAAAAAGCAGCATTAGCAACAACAATACCCCACCGTGCCCCAAAAGTACTCCCTCCCCCCCTGAAAAAAAAAACCAATAACCCAGCCCAAGAGTCTGTTCAGCAGCCTCAGGTTTTTGTAGCTGGAGTCAGCTAGGGCCAGGTGGGAAAAGGCCTGCAAGGCAGGGAGCGGGTCTTCCAGGACTCGCAGCCCTGATGCAAACATTGGCGAGAGTAATAGCAGGAGCAACTGTATTCTGAAATATCCCTTTCTGTTGCAGGACGGCTGCAAGAGCTGGATGATAATTTGAAAGGAGTTTTGATTAAAAGCAAAAGGGGCCGGGATCCAAAGACCCATCCAATTAATTCCATGTGCCCACGGGGGCTTAGAGCTTGCTTGGGAAGGTTCCACCCACCATGCCATGCACAAATCTCTTTTGAGAGCAAGGAGGCTTCCAGAGCAGTTTGGGTATGGTGTGGGGGAGGGGAATGCTGTTCAAAGGTGGTGGTGGTGGGGAATCCCCACTGGGCATGCCCAGACTGTTCCATGTGCCTCATGAAACTCTTTGGATCTGGGCCATTATCAATGGATGTGTGTGTGTGTGTGTGTGTGCGCGCGCGTGTGTGCATGCATGTATTACTGTAAAACACTGGAGTGGATACAAAGGTTTTCTTCTCCATGTACAAAATGCCTTCTGCTTACAGGAAGGCAGTTAATAATAATAATAATAATAATAATAATAATAATAATTTATTATTTGTACCCTGCCCATCTGGCTGGGTTCCCCCAGCCACTCTGGGCAGCTTCCACAGAGACCAAAAATACACTAAAATGTCACACATTAAAAACTTCCCTGAAGATGTCTTCTGAATGTCAGGTGGTTGTTTTTCTCTTTGACATCTAATGGGAGGGCGTTCCACAGGGCAGGCGCCACTACCGAGAAGGCCCTCTGCCTGGTTCCCTGTAGCTTTGCTTCTTGCAATGAGGGAACCGCCAGAAGGCCCTCGGCGCTGGACCTCAGCGTCCAGGCAGAACGATGGGGGTGGAGACGCTCCTTCAGGTATACTGGCACCATGCAAGAACACTGGGGAGAAACATGGTGTGGCGATCACACAGGGTCCCCGGACGTTTGACGGTCTATTGATCCCTGTGCCACCACTGTGATCGCTTCCCCGCTGCCACCAACCCGTTTCTCTCGGGTACACACGGAATCCAGACAGTTGTTAACATTAAACCAAATAAACGAGTTTATTTTACAAGCATTAACAAGTTTATGGTTTCAGATAATTTTTCTTGTCCGTTTCTGAATCTTAGTTTCCTTACTGGCCTATACCTTCCTATTACCTCTGATTATCCCAACTGTCTATCTGACTCCTCTTAACAGATTCTCTCACTCTCTCACATCAAAATATCCCAACCCACAGACGTGTCCTCACTCTCCCTTCTCTAACACCCGACTGACTCCCCAACAACTCCAACTCTAACTCCTCCCCTTGGGTTCCCACTGGCCAATCACTTCACACTCATTTAACCCTTTCCTTATGACCCAGCATGATGTCACCTAGGAGGGTAAATGCCACACATGGGTATAGGTAGGATTTATGTTAGGGTGGGGAAGACACCCACCCACCATCATCCTCTGTCTGGCTCTGTCTTGCAGAATTGGAACGAAATGTTTTAAATTACTTTCTTTGGACCCCAAGCACTCAGAAAAATCTCTCAAAATCTCCAGCCATTCACAACAAAATATTCAACACATCATTCAAGTGACTTCAGATTTCAGTTTCAAATATTCTGATTGCTTCTACTTTTAGTTAAGTATTTTTATTTATTTATTTGGTTTAGGGGGCCAGCTGCCCCCATGGGGAGAAATCCAAAGGTGTATTTCCGCTTGAGCAAGAGCTTGTGTAACCCAGGGCGGAGGCAGTATCCTGAGAAATGCCACAGTCCGTTCGGATGATGACACTGTGTGAACTCTTGCAGCATTTGTGGAAAAAAGCAAGCAGCTCTTTCTCTTCCACTTGTGGTTCTCTTGGAGCCAAACTTCTTCTTCTTCTTCTTCTTCTTCTTCTTCTTCTTCTTCTTCTTCTTCTTCTTCTTCCTCTTCCTCTTCCTCTTTGGAACCTTTTTCCATGGCTTTTGTCCAGCTTTACTGAAGTAATCCAATTTCGACCGCGTATTTTGTGCCAAAGATGTATCACAACACGTTTGCTTTCCCACTCAAGTAGCTTGCTGCAAGCCTACTGAAAAGACACCGAAATGACAAAGAAATTTGCCTAATAAAAGATAGAACAACCTGACTATAGAAACCATCTCTGCAATGTTATTTTTCTCACATATTAAACAGCTCACCTTTTGCTACGTACATAAAGAACTCAGGGACACAGGGCCACGACACGCATTTCCGTAAAATCTGCATGTGCTAATTTTTGATTTATTTATTTTTATATAGTCCCCCCCCCCTGAAAACCACAAGACAAGGTACAGGGAAAAATCAGTAAGTGTTACTCAGAGTAGACCCACTGAAATTTTATGGACCTGGCTCAATCACGTTCATTAATTTCAGTGGGTCTACACATAAAACTTAGTTGAATTCAACCCAGTATGCACAGATGCCTGGTTGAAATTCACTGGGGTCTCAACCAGGGCTTTATTTTGCAGTACACCAGCTGCCCTATAAGCTAAGTTTTCATTTTTTAAAAAAGTGATGAAGAAGCAGGAGATCTGGGGCTTGCCACAAAAGACTTGGGCTCTCTGGGTCACCCCTTAACCATCTTTGTGTTGTATTCACATGTAGATTAATTTCCCCCTTATCGCTTATTACCTGTTACATATCTGGATGAATCTCAGAGTCCATTACGCAAAGAAGGCACAACATCATTCCCCTTTCCTGGTACACAATGCAAGCATGTTTGATACAACTGATTTTCCCCAAGTGCAAATAGCAGTTCATGGATTCGTGTGTGAGAGCATCACTCTGTTTCTCCACACATTTCATAATGAGGAATCTGCTGGTTTCCAAATGTTAAAATCATCTAGAGAGCCCAGCAAGGGACAACCAGAACTAATCATTTTGGAAATGAATTGAGACATATAAAGAGCTGGGAATGGATTTTTTGAAAATCTTGATGTCAAGTTTAGCCACATAATCACCCCCCCTTCCTGTCTTTTCCTTAATCTCAGCTAGAAGCAAACCCTCCCCCTTCCACTAAAAATATGAAGAATTATTGTATGTTATGAATTATTGCATTCATATACAGTATACTCCATTTTCGAACGCAATGAGCACATAAGCAGGTACATACAACAATGCATATATCTATAATAATATGTATGTATTCATGTAAGTAACAACATTATGCAGCAGAAATATAGGACGGCACAGGGATCGACTTGTTTTTATGTATTGTTGTGCATAAATTTGCACATTATTAGTCAGACTTTTATTTTTAAATCTGACAGTGTGCAAGGCACTCAGGACACATGCAAAGCTTGGACTGGGCCAGAATAATCAAATTCCATTTATAAATCCATGGGGGGAGCGCATTTCAAGCACTTCCTCTCCCATAGTTCTAGTTACAGGTA